TCAAAGAAAAATACTATGTATACACAAAAACAAGGTATGAATAAAATACCATCTGTTTCTGTTGGCTATCAACACACAACAGATGGAACAGTGATCACCAAAAGTGAGTGTTTCCCTTCTGATCAATTAACTGTAGAGCATATTTTAATAACAGAATTATGAACAAGAATGGAAGAATAAAAACATATTCATAACCAATCTGGTTTAAATATTATAAATTAAAATAATGTTTGAACTAAATATACAAAATAAAATGTATGGTTTATGATATGTTCCTATAAAACCCTACTCATAGATAATATTATATACAAAATATGTAAAACATTGAAGCATCATCTGTTCTTCATTTTATTTCAGATTCCTAGAAATAAATAAAAATGATATATTTCCAACAAGAAAAAGGCAAAAAACAAAGGCATTCAGGTCTGGATAAGATTATTTTAGCTAAGATTTCATGGATCTCATCCAGGTGGCCAAAATAAGGTAAAGCACCTTCTAGCTCACAACAGGGTTATTTGCAAGGTTTTTTCTAAGAATCTATGACACAAGTTTTATCATATGTTTAGTAGTCAGAGGACTTCTTGAATCTGATAACAGATAACTCTGCTATCTAAATCCTCCATAAATAGTGTTTCTTTCACAGAACTTTAATCATTCAAGTAATTAGTATAAAGATAAGATAAAATAAGACAAATCAGACAAATGCATCTTAAGCTTTAGACGTTTTAATAAAAAAAATTTTTAATGGTGCTGGGGATTGAATGCAGTGCCTTGTGCATGTGAGGCAAGCACTCTACCAACAGAGCTATATCTTCAACCCACATTTTAATAGAATAAAATCCAAATCTTTGAACATTTTTTTCTGAAGAAGAATCCAAATATATATACATACACATATATATCTATAACATATATAGTTATATATTTTAAAAATATGCCTTTTTTAGATTCTTAAGATTTCATTCCTAACAGTACTAAATAGCTACTTTGCATATGTATAATAATTAGTTATACCATAAGTGTAATGAAAGTAGACTCTAAGAAATCTGATTATCTCTCAAATAAATACTGTTATTTGGAATAGGCTTATTAGCAGCTCAGTGTTAAGACAAGAAACAGATCAAATGTGTTTAAGTCCTTTTCCAAAATAATGATCTAGAAGAAATAGTGCATCCTGGAAAACAACGTGATTTTCAGTCAAAACTGCTAATAAGTACTTCGTTTATTGCATTTATTTTGCAAAAAAGAAAATGAAATATATAAAACAACAAAAATTTCTAAGTCAGGAAGAAAGATCAAAGAAAGTAGATGGAGTGTGTGTGTGTGTGTGTGTGTGTGTGTGTGTGTGTGTGTGTGTCTGTATGTGTGTGTGAAGACT